CCAACATAAACTAGAGTGGATTTCAGTTTACTTTTTAGCATCAGTGGTGATTTAAGCAATGAGTTCTACTCCGTGGTTACTAGGTCAACATTTGTGGTTTCTATTTAATTTGCCAGAATTTCCTTTTTTTTTTTTTTTTTCTGTTTTCTTCTTTTAGACATGACTTCTTTTACCTCTAATGCCATCCTTTTCCTTACTGCAACTGTTCAAAGCTTTTCTGTTTATTTTAAAGTCTGCTGTAACAGTATAAATATACTCTGAGCCTCTAATTATGGTATTTTTTTCTATGCCACCTGCAAGCATTTTACCTTTTTAGCTGCCCAGTTAATTTTCTTTAAGTTCCTCATTTTATGTAGTTTCCCTTTTTAAAACTTAATGCTATGTGATGGACTTTCGGCTTCTCTTCTCCAAAGACATTGAATTTACACATGAATTGTCTGTTGTTCATGGAGTGGCAATCAAAATTGGCTGTCTTTCCTGCATCTTCTAAACAGTTGCTCCAAAAGGCAGATTTTTATGATGTCTGAAAAGGTAATCTCAGGATCACAGCTCAATGAAACTTCCACAGTGTGGGTATAGGGAACCCTGATCTCCCATTATTACTTCATTTCTTGTCCATGCAGATTAGGGATAGATGAATGAACCATTTCTTGCAGTTAATACATGGATTCAGCAGGTTAGATTATATTAGTTGAATTCATACCCCCCACCAGTCACCCTCTTGCAGTAATACTTGGTTAGTCCTGAAAAAGTCTTTCAAAAATTCGGAGTAGTTGAGACACTGACAAGACCAAGCCTTTGACTGGATATGATATACATTTTGTTACACTTTTTTGTCCCCACTAAGTTGTTCAGTAAACAGCAATGAATGAAGAAATATTTTATCCATTAAGTTCTCCAGTTACCAGCCTGGTAATGTAAGTATCTGTCTGAATTTTGTATTTGTTTGTAACAGATTAGTCACAGTGGGCTGGAAGCTGATTTGTGTTGATGAAATTTGGTAGTAAAATTTTGAATTTGAATGAAAAATAATACTTTCAATCATCTTTTTTTTTTTCATGTTGAATTGTAGGAATTACTTGGTTTTCATATAATAAAGTATCTAAGTTTTCCTATAGATCTTATGTTCATATGTGTGGTGAACTGACTAGATGATGAGTTTCAGTAATAGAACATAGAAAAGGTTTCAGAAGGGCCTGGTTACTCAGCTTACGTATATCAGTTTAGTAACATCAGTTTCATGCTGCTATGATAATTTACACCAGCTGAGGTTCTGGGCACCAATCCTTTTATTGTGTCTTGACTTTTCTAGCATGGAGGTTAAGCAACATTTGATAACCATATGTTTAATGTATTATGCCAGCAGAATAGGACTTAGAAGGTGGAGTACTGGAAGACTGGGAATTTCAAACATGTATTGTTAGATTTTATTGACTTCAGAATGTGGTGTAAATACATTGTCAGCTTCTCTATAAAACAAGGCCCCCATGTGGAGTCAAGACATACAGTGAGATCCTGTAAAACTGTAGTAAAGAAGTCTTAAAATTATGTAGATTTAATTGATTATGTTTTCCTCCAAGATTATATCTTAAAAATTTAGCATTCTCAAAATAAACTCTTGAAAATGTAAAGCCAGTGTATAAATGCACATCTAATGTGTCAGACTTCTGAATTACTTTGCTCCAGCATCCAGGAACAGACAGAAAGCTTTTCATTGTTTACGCAGAGGGGAAGGCAGAAGAGCTTCTCTGAGGAACTCACCCCTTTTGTAGTCGTTTGACTGAAGGGAGCTGTAAAATAGTAACTGTTGTTGATGCAAGAGCTACCTACATGAGTGAGTATTCAGAGGATTTCAGCTTCCTTTGGATACTTTGGTGATTGGTGTACATCCTCTTAAGAAATCTGCAGGTAATGAGTGTGCATGATGGTCATCAGGGCAGAAAGCAACTAGAGAAACAAACATGGATGGAAAGCTGAGAGCATTCCAGTGGAAAACTCAGCTGTATAAAAAGTGTTGGGCATCTGTGCCAGTCTGTTTTCATGTAGTTGTTTCATCAGATGCATGTAAAAAAATGATTCTTTAGTTAAGTCTAAAAAAAAAAATTGTTCTAAAAAGTGAATGACTTCTTCTGAGTTGAGAGGGGGAGAAGTTATAGTAAATTGGAAAATATTTGTTCCTGAAAACTTCTTTCCAGAAGTTTCAAAGTTCATAGAGCTCACTTGCAAAACCCTAGGGTTTAGCAAACTCCTTTGTGGTGTGAAGTTTAAATGAGGAAATATGGTAACATACCACAAAGTGTCCCTTGGGTTGTGAAAAATCACTTCTGTGCTACTTCTGGTTTAGTTATTTATTATTTGTAAGCCAATTAATGTTATTTTTCTTGATTTGTGTTAGACATGAGTCATCTAGCAAATCGGTTTTTTCTCTGTAGAAGGTATGAAGTTGTTACTTAAGTGAATATAAGCAGTTGTGGTTTTATGCCAGTATCAAAACTTCCCATTTCAAAAGCCACTGGTTAACAAACACTTTGATTTTGGCATTCATCTAGGACCTATTATGCAGATACTCTGAACTGTTCTTTAGATGTGGAAAATGATGACAGCACATCACTGATTTAGTTACATTTCGATTACACAGCTAGAAATAGAAAAAAATACACTTTATTCAACATCGGGCATCCAAATAAATAATTTATCTGCAAAATTTGTTTCACTAAATCGATGCTGTTGGCATCTGTAGTCATTTTTCTTGCCTAAAGGGTACCTTGGTTACCTGTATTGTGTTTGCCCACAAAGGCACAAGACTCAATGCTAGTCTGCTTATGGCCACCAATTCTGTGTGCATGTGTTTCTAGTTTTAAACCCAAGTATTGTCCTTACAGTGTAATGACCATCCTTCATATGGTGTAACCTTAATTCAAGAGTCTGTGTAAAGAAGATTGCAGACGGACTTCAGTGAACTCAAGGGGCTGATGGCAATAGTCTTCCAGTAGAGGGGGTGTGGTGGACATCCTCTGGGCTGTGGGTCTGAAACATCTCAAATTACTCAGCCATATTTGTCAGTTTAAAACCAGTGGGCTGCTCTGCCTGCTAACTGCACTGATACCTTGCTTTGTTATCCTTCTGTGCAGCTTTTACTTCCTCCCCTTATGTGACAGTCAAGGAGGCTATTGCTGAAACAGGCAAGAGAGCTTTCTTACGCTGCTTCTCAAGTACTGTGATCAGTGCCATTGAGTAAATTCAGTTTGGTGTCACTTCAGCTGCATGGAACATAGCAATACATCCCTTATAGAGATTAGTATTTTGGTTTTTATCACACATAACCATGCCAACATATCAGGTACTGATGTGGCACTGAAATAGCAGTGCTAAAAAGTAGGTATGATGATACTAAAATACTGTTTGTTGAAGTCCTGTTTCTTTCAACTCATATGTCTTAAAATTTGAGGGGAAGTGAATGTCTACTACTACACTGCATTTTCAAAGGTTATTGATATAATTCTACTTTGATGGAAATAGATTCTAAAATTTTTCACCTATACCCAACTGGGTAAGCAGAAGGTCCATCTCAAAAACCATTTTTTCCTGACATTTGTTACTAAACCCTATGGTCGAAATTTCTTTCTAAAAAATAAGAAAGCCTTCCTACCACATGGTTGTGGTTGAATTCTGAATTATGTAAGTTGATACAACTACAGTTGGTTTCGTCCATTAGAATACATTGATAAACAAAACTGTAGACACTGTAAGAGCTACATAGAGATGTTGCAGCTTGTATGGACTTTGGAAGCCTTTCTTTCTTTTCTTCTTTTTATTCCTCCTGCACGTGCAGCCTTACACAGTGTGACTCCAGTTGCCTGTCTAGAGCCTCTACTGCCTACCATGTTATGAGTAACTGCTCCTGTTATTGTGCTGCATATTTGTGACACAGTCTGTGATAAAAGAAAATTAAGAGTATTTGGCAATAATTACAATGAACAAGAATGTCCAGCCTAAGTCAGAGCTAAATACTTCTGTTGATATATTGACTGTAGTAAGTACTGATATAATTTTCGATGTAAAAACCAAATGTCTATGTGGACAAGTCAAACATGAGTAGACTTTTGGATTATTTACTTTCAAAAACTAAAATTTTGATGAAAACAGTAAATGGTTGATTAGTATAATCTGCAGACTACTGTCTTCTCCTAAGCAAATTAAAAAATATGTTTTGATATTTTACTTGGTATTTTGAAAAGTGATTGGAATATATTACTAAACTAAAATCATTCCTTAGTCTTCCCGTGGGTCTGTGTTTCTGCCTTGACAGTTGGTGCAGCAAGTGTTACTAGTTATTGGTCTTTCAAATAAACTGCATCATGTCTCACATATAATATTTATTACTATCCTACTAGCGTTAGTGTGCTAGTCTTTTATGTTTAATTGTAGAAAGACTAACCAATTTTGGAAGAATTTTTATTTTTGTAGGGTTCTCTATGTCACTAAGAGATGCTGTGCTATAGCTCACATTTGGCTGGAATGTTTAGAATTTGTACATTTTTGATGTCTGATTTGTGAAGTTAGTCTTGTGACAAATTCTGCATCTTAAGTGTTTACCAGTAAGAGTATAATGAAACATTCAGAGTTAACATTAAAATACAAACATAACCTAAAATTTCTTAGTTGCTTTTGCTGGTTTGGATATGTTTTTGAGCTAATGTTTCATGTGCTTTACTCTTTGCCTTAAATCACTACAATTCATCCTCAGACCTCCCATGCTGTTAAATGCATGGGTAGAATGGTAGCTTCCAAGCAGTTCACTCACCTCTAAAGAAAACACTTTCAGGTCATGTTATATAACCTGTATTATAAGAGCAGATGTCGGTAAGATTCTAAAAATTAATATCCTCATCTTTTTAATGTGTTGGTTTTTGGGTTTTTTTTATGTTTCGGTTTGTTTTTTTAGATGTGAGTTTTCATTATAATATCAATACACTGGTCTCTTTTTTTTTCCTCAATAGATAAAAAAATATTTTGAACTTGAGCCGCTTGCACGTGGAAAGCGTTGGATTCTTAAACCCTGCTCCTTGGATGATATGGATGCAGTAAAAGACAGCTTCTCCCTTCTAATAAACTTGCTAGAAGAGAGAGACTTCGAACCTTCAAGAATGTGAAATCCAAGAGAAAGGAGTGGTTCTCCAGACATCACTGTACTTGCTCATTCTGCACGCAGCTTAATTATGGTGTGGTATCAAGACTGAGCTGTGATATGTTGTTCATACAGAGTTAGTGCAGAATGTCCTTTTGTTAAAATAAATGTTCTGTGAGTCAGGTACACAACTATTTCCAGTAGAGTTGTCTATGCTACTGAAGTAGGAAGTTCCTCTTTGTTTACCACTATTTCTGCACACTGCATGTTGCTTTCTTGCTTTGCGATCATCCTTGATGGGGAATTTTGCGCGCACAAAAATAACCTAGTCTGTAAGTCTATGTGTTACCTTGGATTTTAAAAAATAACTAATATCTAAATGATTTGTGGGTCTAATTTGTATTAGCTTGTTTACTGACCTCACAGTATGGAAAAGCACAGCCACTGAGAACCTAGGATACCTAAAAGGCAAGCAGTTTCATGTTAATGCAAAGGTTATTCCTGAGGTTTTACTAAGTGAAAACACAGTTGACAAATTAGTTGAGTCCTTTTTTAAAATCACTGCATAACCTTCCAAAGGCAGAACAGTTATTTTGCTGGAAGTTTGATGAAAAGTGAATTAACAAACAGATGTGCACAGATAACAGTATTTGGGGAAAGTAGGTGACAAACAGGTGATCTAAGTAAAATAATTTTCTTAGAAATATACAAAAGTTGGACAAAGGAATAAACTAATTGAAAGTAGTTTTCCGTAAAAAAAGCAAGGTAAATGTCTGTTAGTTCATCTGTGGGGGCTTTATTACTAGTTAGAAGTATGAGTGATTTGAAATAAGTACTGCTTCCTTTATCACTCATTTGTAGACTACTGCTGTTATTGTAACATTGCCAAGGCATCTATACCATAATTAAGGGTCTTCCAGTGTTTGTACTTCTCTTTTCAAGGGGATTATGTCTTGTTCTTAACACTTACTCTGTGCTAAGTGTTCCTTAGAAGACAAAAAAGTATTCATTGGAAAACAACATTTGTAATACATTTAGAAAAAGCCCCTTTGGTTCAAGTAACACAGTCCACATTTTCTATTTCCACGTTTCCCCCAGATTTGCAGTATTTTGGCTGCCTTTTGTTTATTTTTTTAAAACTTTATAACCCAATTTTGTTCATTAAAGAAATGTGCCAGGCCACTTGTCACTGAGTCAGTGACAACAGGGGACGTGCAGATCAGTTGCTGGACTGGTGCACACCTTGTGCTGTGCCTTGCGCATTCAGCTACCCTTGAGTGTCTGCAAACACAAACTGTAGTGATGTGTCATTAGTTTCTCATTAATTCTGCTTGTGTTCTGAAACTTATAACGCCATTTTTCAGGGCTTTAAGCAGCATATCTTTCCACTCTGAGCATTTATATTTTGTTTAATGTTTATTGTAGTCTCTCATTAGTTTATTTGGGGATAAGAAAATAGCAAAGATCAGCTTTTAAAGGCTGATAAAAGCCATTTCTCTATTACTTGCAATTATACTCTTTGTTAAACAAAATGTTTTTAATAGGTATTTTTGTTTACTTTTCAATTTCCTTGGATTTCCTGCATTGCTCTCACTGTTTTAACTTGGTTCCTGTTATCAGAAAGAAGCTGGGAAAATTGATAAAACTCCTTGTTTCATTTTGAGATAGAATAGGCAGAAAGCCTGAAAGGCATCTCCTTGCTTTGTTTTTTTATTCTCTTTCCTACCAGGTCAATCGTCTCACTCCTAATACTCTTGGAAATAACCAAGAACTGGAATTGTTCATTTTGAAGCACAGAGTAGCCCTGCTTTGGTTCAATTCTCTCTGCACACTTTAGTCAGGACCCATCTGCCCATCAGTTTCTCTTGTATGGGTTAAGGAGGTTCCTTTCCCTGGATTTAAGAAGGAATTGGATCTAATTTACAATTTCAAACTCTCTCTTAGCTTACGTGAGATTAGAGGCTACAGAGTCCTCAGATTTCCACAAGGTCCCCAAATTTCTGTCCTGTTTAGAGACAATGACAAGTAAGTGGTAAGGAGGAGGTGGGAAAATTACTTGCCAGAGAAGGCAGGCAAAATGGGGGATTCAGAGCTTTTACTGCTTTTTCGTTGGCCATTAGTTAGAAGATGTGAAATAACATTTTTTTACTGTTTTTCCCCTTCTTTCCCTTAGTTATGGACCAAAAGTTACAGGAAATGAAAATAAGCCCAACCATATTGCATTCTTGAAACTTTACTTATTTCTGCCATCAGCAGAAAAACCATCGGTCTGGTCCAAAAACTTTAGTGTTTCCAAGTTACATTTTGGTCATGATCTCCCAGATATGCACTGTTAGAAGGTGCTACATGACTAACATGAAAAAGGCCCAATACATTGATGAGAATATGGTTTTGGCATATGCCGGTGGCCACTTAGACTAGGACCTTAAGGCAAATGTCAACTGCACAGAAGCAGTGATTTTGATTTACCGAATTATTTTGAGTATGCTTTTTCTTATTAATACAGCGATCATTCCTCACCACAGATTGAAACAATACCTCATAACTGCTGAAGGCTAAAACCAACACTTAACTTTACTTTGAATGTAGTACTTCTGTGGTTTTGTGTTGTAGATAGACTTAATGGATGTGTACCTTTTTAATGTCTATAAGCAACTTCACCTTTTTGTGAGGGGATAAAAACATTCAGTAGCAGCTCATGTCATAATTCCTTGTCTATAGTGTTGTTGAATGCTCTGGCTTGGTAGAATATATAAGCACTATGCAGTTTGCATTCTGCTAACCAATCTCAATTGCTGCAGTTTTTGTTGGTTTGTTTTGTTTTGGTTGGGTTTTTTTTTTTAATCTTTTCAAATGTGTTCATCATTTAGGTGGAATAAACTTGGGCACTAGGCTCTACTTTACTTGCAAGTTCATTAAGGAGTGAACATTTTCTTTTTAAAAAAAGATGTTGTGCTTTAATGTTCTTTAGCCATCTGTTAAATTACTTCGTGTGTGTATGTGTGTGTGCCCACACTGGGCTTCTCAGACCTGTGGCTGTCTGCAGTGTCTCAGCCGTCAGAGTGAAAACATTATCAATCAATATCCAACAACAGCTGGTTTTGACAACCTTCTGTCTGCTGCCTAATGTTTTACAGCTCATCAGTAAGACTTCTTTGTCTGCCCACTCTGAGCTGGTAATCTTACTGCTTCCATGTCATGTCCTGTAGTTGTACTTCTAGCATTTGTATGGATAAAAAGTTAAATCTTAGTGGGTTTTGATATTCTTTCTTGCTGTATAATGCTCCACGTGTATCTTGGCTTGCCTATTCAAATACACTGTACAAAAATCTGTGATGTATTATTTCATTTAACTTCTTGCATTTCATTATATTTATAGAAGTTGCAGATTTTTGTACCGTATTACTTAATACAGTTGCCTTTTTGTAATGGCAATTAATTTATATTACAAAAGTTTGTATCTTTTCTGTAGTCAAAAAATATTAGTTAACTGCCATATTATCTTAACTTTATACTAAAAATACAGTGTCTATACATGAAGTTGACCCAATCAAATGGTCAACTGCTGACGTGGGGAACCTGTACTGTTTATGATTTATACATAATTTCCACTATCAAAAAAAAAAAAAAAAAAGAAAGAAAGAAAAAAAAAAGAAAATAAATGCTGTGTAGAATTGAGTCGATAAGTTTTGATTTCTTGAGAAAGTAGCCAATTTGGGAGTATGGCATATTACCTTGATTTGGAATGTTCAAGATGAATTATTTACCCATAAGTGTAAAAAAATATTCCTGTATAAATCATTGCTACATCATATGTAGTTACACATTTACACACACATACATACAAAAGAGAAAATTTCAAAAATTGACTGATTTTTTTGACAGCAAGATGTCATTACTCTGGAAATATATGTAAATGGTATTGCAGGTTTATTGCTGAAACAGAGATTGGAATAATCTTTATACAGTTCTTCCATAATATTAAATTGAAAGACATGTTTATATGACTAGAAATTATCTTTAAATAAATGACATGGGAAAGTACATATACAAAACAAAAGCTACAGAAGTTGAGCAAAGGAATATACTCTGGGGAAAATAAAGGATTGTTGAAACAGCTCAGTGTTATCCTATCGAACACTATTTGAGTAGAAGATGCTCTTACAATGCAAGTTATAACAGCTGATGGAAATATAGCACTGCTGAGCCAGACTGGAATTGCTGATTCAGCTACTAAGGTATGCTTTTTCCATGTTACTACTTTTAAATCTGCCTCTTAACCAAGACTAGGAATGAAATGAAAGATTTTTAAACTGATAATTGTTTTTTAATTCTTTTGTTTCATATAAATCGGAATTGAAAACCAGCTAATCATGCCTCATTTGATAGCTCTTGAAAGAATTTTCATTAGCTCATTAGCCCTTTGACCTAATAGTTTAAACAAATAAAAACATCTGTTTGTGTCAGCTGTAGGGTTAGTCATCCAGAGCCCAGGTTAACACAAGGATAAGAGAGAGTCCCATATCCTACATGAAGAAAACCCAAACTGTTTTCAGTATCTGCAGTTGAAAAGGACCCCTGAAATCAAGTAGGGCTGTTACTGAATTCTGTTAGGTGAAGAAACAAAAAGATCATTACCTTTCTCAGTCCTGAGCCCTCATGAGTGAACTGACTAATTTCATTGTGTGGGTTGGGCTGAAGATCAGATCTAATTTAAATAGTTCTGGGATATTCATGCTTAATGTTACCTGCTTATAATGTGTTGTAGCTTTTATCACAGATACATTTGGAGAAGCCAAAGTATGCTGTGTATATTGATTGTTCATTCACCAGATTTCATGGGAAAATGTAATATGTGGTATTCCGATGGGTTTTGATGGGATATGTTCAGGGCAACCTTGTTTATAGAGGGTATGTTTGTGCATCAAGCATGTTCAGCACTTCTATTTATGTCTTAAATATGCCTCAGTTTTTTAATCACTGAATATCTCTAGGAAAGGCAGATGTTCAAATGTCAGTGTTGGTTCTAACAGTAGATTATGTAGTTCCAGTTACCTGTGGCAGTAAACTGGGAGAGAACGAAAGTATTCTAATCATCTGTTTGCCAGGTTTACAGTAAATCCAACTGAAGTATTTAGCAAAAGGTCCAGTGCTGGTTTGGGATGATTATGGGAGAAGAGACACTCATTGCCTGAAAATAACCTGAATCACAGAATCACAGAATATCCTGACTTGGAAGGGACTCACAAGGAAAATTAAAGTCCTGACCCTGTACAGAACAGCCATGAGAGTCATACCATGTGCCTGAGAGCATTGCCCAAATGCTTCTTGAACTCTGTCAAGCTTGGTGCTGTGACCACTTCCCTGGGGAGCCTGTTCCAGTGCCCAACCACCCTCTGGGTGGAGAAGGTTTTATTAGGTTCTAAACCTCCCCGACACAGCATCAAGCCATTTCCACAGGTCCTCTCACTGGTCACCAGAGACAAGAGATTGGTCCCTGCCCCTCCACTTCCCCTCCTGAGGAAGCTGTAGACTGTGATGAGGTCTCCCCTCAGTCTCCTCTTCTCTAGCCTGGTTTTGGTAAAGACCATATTTGTAATGAAAAACTATTATATAGTTAATTTCTAAGCACAGAAACATTTCTCACACATGAAAAAACTATACCTGTATTTGAGAACCTGCCCACATACTAAGAAGAGGTATGAATTGTACCTAAAACTGACAACAAATAAAACCAGCCATCACAGTGTCTTTTTTTTACCTGTCACCTCATAATAGTAAAATGCTGTTGTTCAGTTTTATTATGATGCTATGTAACTATAATTTATTGCATTTCAGTGTGCACTGGAAAGTATTTGCATGTAATAAGTAAAAGAAGATAAAAATCCGTTTGTGGTTTGGCAACTTCCATGTATGAAGAGCTGCCCTCTTTCTAAGGAGACATTGAGCATTGGAGTACAGGAGCCTTATATTGTAACTTTGTTATAAATCACTGCTAACTGAAATGCTAAATAATGGAAATCCCAAACAAAAAGTCTGGTACTTTTTAACTGCATAGTCCCAAAGATGGTGTGCAGGAGAGAGGAAATCAAGACTTGGATATGAATGTTGCAAAACCAAAACAAGTTTAATGGCCAATCACACAGCAAAGTATTTGGTGTTTTAACAATGTGGCAGTCTTGAGTTTGGAAGGTTGATAGATTTTTCAGGATCAAAAGAACATTTTGTAAAAAGTTTAATTTTATAGTAGGTTACATTTTGGGCCTGTCAACTTTGACACAGTCCCATTAAAGCAATAATTCCTGCTGTGCATTAAGGTTGACACTCCAAAAATTTCTTCTATGGAAATGAATCTGTTCTGTGTTCTGTTAGAAATGCTCAAATAGCATTGTTTGTCCTGTGTCACCTTATTTATTTGAAAGGACGTATCCTAGCATTTCCTCAGGGATACATATACACCCAAATTGCAATAATATTGTATCTTTCAAAGACCCCATTTTTGCCAATGTCAAAATTGTCTATTTTAATGCTTATGAAAACAAATATCTATTTGCAAATCTGTCAGAATTATTTTATTATAGCATTCCCAAGTATGTAAGACCTAGAGATTCAAAATATGAATGGGATTGCACCATTTAAAATTAGCACTGATTAACTGCAGTATCTGGGAAATTGGTTTTTTTATTTAACAGTAGAATGAAAAATGCAACTCATAATTGCCCCAATATTTGTCTTGCTGCAAAGAAAAAATTAGCACTCATTAGAATTCATATGGGTTATGACAACCTTAGTCCATTTTTACTAAATTGCTTTGTTTGCCAATCCACTCTGGTTTACACATGTGTGTCGGTTAAAACTGAAAGACTTCCTTCAAGTATTTGAAACTAAGGTTGATTTAAAAAAAATGCTAATTGCCTTGTCTAAAAATATTTTTTACATGATTTGCAGGAGTGTGACTGTTGCAGAAAAATTCACTTTTGCCTTTAAGATATAGAGCATGACCTTTTGGTTACAGTAAATACAGTACTGCAAGTCTGGTAAAGTCATCACATATACTAAAGGTATTGAGACCATTTACCTCACATTCCTTCCTATTAGCTTCCACAATTAACATGATCCACAGCTGAAAAAATAATTCTAGTTGTCGCTGATAAATGGGGTGAAATCGTCAATCACTGAAGTTGACAGTATTATTTTAAAAAGATATTGCAAACAAATGTTTACCCAGAGATAGTTACTGTTGCTGAGATTTTGTTCTTTGGGGTTCTCTCATTTCATTCATGTTGCTGACTTTGGTGCTCAATCTCAGATTAAAGAAGGGGGTTTTTTTGCTTTGGATTTTTTGGGAGGTTTTTTGTATTTTGTTTTGGGTTTTTTTTTTGGTTTTTTTTTTTTTTCCTGTAGCACAAAGAGTACCAAACACCCATACATCAAAGTGTTTAACAGAACCAGGAGCATTCCTGGTAACACTCTGAGATATAACTTCAGCTTTTTTTTATTTGTTTTCTTTTCTTGATATGATGTGCAGACCTGAGATTTTGGTTCAGGCCTGTCTCCACTGAGAGGTGCCAGTAATACAGAACTCTCCTATTATGGACTAAATAGATATCTTGCCTATTTTTAACGCTCACTTTTGATCTCTGAAGAATTTTAATATCAAGGTAAAGTATTACATGTTGGTTTCATATGTAGATGCTTCAGTGACATAGACATTAATGAAAATGCATACAGTGTTCGTAGAGAAGAAATATCTTGTTTTTGACATTCTCAGTGCTGAGGAGAAATCTTTCATAAAACTGCTGCAGGATGGTGAGTCTCGTTCTGTCTGCTTGTGAGAGGCAGTTTTGCTTTAAAGTTTGGTTCAAAACAAATTGAATAGAAACTTTTTCCTTCAAGTTTGATATTTTAAACTACCTGGATACTGCCAATTAGCATGTTCTCCAGCACTTTGTCTGTGAGAACCATTTCACATCTAACCTGATTAAGGCCTGAGGAGGTGTTCACTACTAGTCAATGTTTCCAGTTAGTGATCTGATCTTTTCAATTTCTTTCTGCATATAACATTTCTAAAACCCCTTGATGTTCACACCTGTTTGCACATCTTGTGTCAGGCAAGTGTACCCTAGGAGTGGTTGTTGAGGCAAGTCTGGAATTCTCCTGGCAGTCAAGGATCAGTTTGTTCTCATTTGTTCCAGATGAGACACAATATTGTGTTCTTTCTCCATCAAGAACCATTTTCTCACCATCTTTTTTGTTTCTATGTCTGCTTATTTTGGATGGGAACTCTGGTTCATGGAATAACTAATGTTGGATAATGCATTTTCTTTTAGCAAAACAGGGACTATTGCAGGAGAAATAGTTCTGAGACTCTTTTCTATGGTCAAAATTACAGGTTATGTTGCAAATACTAACTAGAAAATGTAATTGTTAGTCAATGGGTTTGAGTATATCTAAAAGCCAAGATAAAGTGTATCCTGTTCTAGCTGACTGATGCTGAATATTGGTTCTCATCTGCTAATGTCAGAATTAAAGTAGAAAAAGTTGCCAAAAATACATTGTATCTGATTCAGCAGGAAGCTTAGCTCAGTGAGTCATGAGCCACCATTCTGAATGGCACTGAGACCTCCATCTCTCTGATGGGAAGCAAAGATGGCCATCTGCCTGAACCTATGACCTGCAGACCATAAGATACTTAATATGTTTGCCACAGAGCTGAGGGGAGATGCCAGTTTGAGGAGGCCTTGATAGCGGCTCTACCTGACTGAGTCATGCCAACTCACATCTTCTGCCAGAGAAGGGACTAGTAGTCACTGTTCCAGCAGAGCCCACTGCTTGCCAGTGGCCCACTTGACTTGTCAGGAATGGTGTGGAGTTTAGAGCCACAAGCCAGCCATGTCTGGCTTACTGAGACAAGCACTTTTCAAGGCGACGAAAGAAACACTGAAATGGGAAAATGAGTGCTGGTGGCAGGCCTCCACACCTGTCATGCTGTATTACAGTTTCAGTCTTTGATTGTTGGTCCCATAAAGGTGTCGTTTTCTTCATGTTATTAAAGCAATTACAGTTATTATACTAAATTTGTCCTTTCTGAAGGGAGCAAGAATAAATGAGAGAGGATTTGCATACAAATTGAGCCTGATGTGGGGGAAAATCGGAGCAGGTGGTGAAGCTGTGAGGAGACATTATGCAGGAGCATGGCCGGAGTTGCCCTCCTCCACAACCCGTTGCTGGTGACCCTTTGAGGAATGTCTCCTGACTGTCTGGTGGATTCATGTGAATGAAGGACAGTTTGGCACACTGTTATCCTGGGCAGATCAAAGGCCAGGCATTGGCTGGATGGATGGACAGAGGAGGCATGTGAAAGGCCTCCCCTCCCACTGGCAAGGCCTTTTCCTTGGCACTGCTCAGCCTTCCCCCACCTCTTCTCTCAAAGACATACCCCTGTGTAAGGCAGCTCTCCTGCCCCGTGCTGCCAGGTAGGATGCCTGCCTTTGCTGCAGGAGCACCTGCCTCTCAGTGTGGTGGGTTCCCCTGGCCTCAGTCAGCCGGGATAGTGAGTAGTGCTCTGGGACTGCACCTCCCATTGCATCCTAGGAAGGGTGTCAGGTTGCCCATGCAGGTGTTTGTACTTCAGAAGAGGAAGACATGGTGGGCAGCAGGCTTCCAAGCCCATCCAAAGTGACAGTATATTTGGCTTTTGGACATGGAAAGCCATTGCTCCAGTTTCCCACTGCGGTTGTGTTTCTTTACACAAAGTTCCCCTTGTGTGTCTAATGACAGGGGTAGGGGTTCTCACTCATGAAAGTGCTACAAAATATTAGGAAATAAAGCTATTTTTTTTTCTGAGACTGAGTTTTATAGCCCAAGTCACTGCTAAACAAAGGATCAGTGGTGTGGAGGAAACACAAGTGCCTGGCCCTGTCCTTGTTAGGTTTGGACTAGTTTCAGCACAACAAGCCTGGTACTGAGTAATTGATGTGCAAATTAATTTTATGATATTACTAGTAGATGAAAAGTGTATCTGAAATATACATTACTTGCAAATGAACCTTTGTTATAATGGGTTGTCCTCATTGAAACAGCCCTGGAACATGCTGTTTAAATAAGAAAGAATGCTGTTGTACTTTATTTTTAGTAATGTCTTTTGATGCTGAATAAGATTCTTTGAATTCCTACAGATGTGAAAAAAAAGCAGCCCTCTTTCTCTTTTTTAGGAAAAAAAATTGTGTTTACATTTGTTTTATAAGTGGGAGAATGATTATAAGTTGTATCTTCATGGTCAGCATTGTCAGCTATATTATAGGGCAATAACCAAGTTGCTTTCCTGGCTTAACATGTACATGGATATCAAGACCAATGAAGGTAAAATTAAACCAGTGAATGGCTGTCTGTGTGAAGGTTCATATTAATTTTTAAAAGTCTATAGCAGTAACAAGTGTAGCAGATATCCTAAATCAGAACATGAGGATGACGTTGAATCATCTCAACTATTCTGAAGAGTTTCTCTGTGTTTCAATGTCTCCACTGAAAAAGAGTAACTGGATAGAGCATGAGCTACCAGAATCATGGCTGTTACTGCAGATCTGCTGCTTTAATCATGACAACTGTTCTGCTTTTCAGTCATGGTTCAAGATTCATCCAGAAATATTCACTTATTTCCATAGTTAAAGTTAAGTCACTGATACAGAAGTTACTATCTGGGCATTCAAGTGTGGGATTACCAGCTTTTTACTTGTATATTTTCCTCTGCAGCCACAGAAGAAATAATTTCCTTTTTTTTTTTTTTGCACTGTGGTATTTAAATGTGAGAAAACGACTGAAAGGATAATAAGTTAGGAAAGCTAATTCTCCTTTTCCAGGCAATGAAGAGAAACCACATGGCAGGTAAAATATCTTGCTTTAGAAATCCTGGTGGACTCATTGATTTACAGAGATCTGTCCAGTTCTCACAGTTATTAAACCAGAGGGACTAAGATTTGGAGGACATCACCAACTAGTCTTAGTCACAGTGCAAGTAAACAAATTTCTGTAATTTATATTTTTGATGACTTTTAAAAAAAAATTGTCAAACCTATACTTCTGACCACTCCATGGCTTTGTAATCTCATAATAACACAGCTTATACTTCTGAAATTCAGCAAAGTTTGTGAATACATTTTTCCTTATAATAAGTGATCTTTTAAGAATGAAGAAACATTTTTCTTTTTTTTTTTTTAAATCAATATTTTAAAAAAATTACTTGCTTTGGTCATAGCTAATTTAGCCCTGATGAGGATTTTTTCATAGACAGAATAGAATATTATAGTTCAATTATAAAGGCCTGCAACAATTATCTAGTCTGTCTGCGTCATTATTTGAGGATTTGGACCATTGTCCAAACCTGTCCACTGACCAGCTGGGATCCCTGACCATCTCTCTAAGAAGCCTGTTGCAGAGTTTGACCACTCTCTCATTAAAGAAATACTTCCTGATGTCCAATCTAAATCTCCCCTTGTATTGCTTTGAACCATTTCCTGGCATCCCGTGACAGGATGCCATGGATCACTACCATAAATAGCAAAAATGCTAATTTTTGGACTTTGTATGAACTTTTTCAGAAAACATTTTCTGCCATAATCTGTCCATCAGAACCCTGTTTCTTCTCTTTATCTGCATCTGTTACTCAGTACTAATTCTCATTTTACACTCTCTCAAGCATTCCCCTTACACAGAAGATTCTGAAATGCAAACACTTTCAAATACATTTCTGCATTCTTAGTGAAAAAACCCAAAACCAAAAAAACTCCAAACCCTAGGGGTTAGTATGTTCAAAACATACAATATGTTTTTTATTTAATGCAAAGAGACACAAGAAAAAAAGACATGTTGACCTCACTCCAGTAAGTTTTTCTCAAAAACATTGCAAAATATATGTAAACTCCCTTGGCCTATTCAACCTTTCCAGATGCATCGCTCTCCTGGGTACCTAGACAGATGTAGAGTCAAGTGGAAGTGCAGATAAGCATGTTCTCTACCACCACTGTACTGAGATATGCAGACCTCCATATGGAAGGCAAATATCATCAATTTTTTCCCCATTTTAAAGTTTCTTATGAGGAAAGTTTAGCCCTACCTGTGGTTACAGCACAAAGGAAAAATCTTTTCTATATGCATTTTATAAAATATCTCTTATGTACTAATTTATGGGACATTATAGCTGGTATACACGAAATATTTCAGTATTTATTTCTCCATCAGAATTGCTCAGGTTTTTCTTCACCTGTCAAAATGAATTGCCTCTACTGAGCAGTGTCTCAGTGTTCTGCATGTCTCTATTCTGTGGTTGCTTTAAGGCCACAGTATATCAGATTCAGCTTCTTAAACTAAAAGGTGTAGGAAATTCAGGGAGAAAAATATTACCAAAGTAACTTCATTAAAGAGTCCTGTATGGAAGATCAATGTCTTTTCTCAAAATGCACTCAGAGAAAATGTTGTGTTGAAAAACAATAAAAAATATTACACTGATGTTTCAGAGGTTGTAAATGTGAGATTCTGTTACCAGAATTACTTTAGTGTCATATATACTTGCCTATAATTGACTTTATTTTGAAATTTTGTCATCTATCTTCATTTCTCTATCTGCCTTTGTAACACACCTTTTCAAACAGCACATGGTCTGGTTTTCATTCTCAGTAAAATTCCCTGTCCTCCTGCAGTTATCCTGAATGTCAAAATCAGGGCATAACTTGCCCACCTTCATGCTAAAGCATGACTCCTCTTATGGGGAGTTGCAGCTCTTGTTTTTCAGACCTATGGTTCTGAAGGTCTCACAAAATCTTGGGATTATACATTTTTCCCTCATCTGTGAAATCTCTTCATACCTGCAGCATTTACACAGCATGGAATGAGTGTCCAGTAATGAATGACAATGAATGAAAAGACAGAACAGATGTTTTTGGAGCAAGAGAGCCTTTCCACAATGTGTGCAGGGTGAATTTGGCAAATCCACATAAACTGACTAGAGAGGATGATAGGTATCACCCTCCATCGCTTAGGGCAAATGTATTTCAGAAACATAAGCTTGGTGTCTTCATCTATCACCTTCAAAACAACGCCCTAATCCATGGTCATGGTATCCTGGATGTGGGTTGTGAGGTCAGGTAGAAGAAGTGAACTTCTCTGACTGGCCTGATCATTCTGCTCTCCTTTTACCCGGGCAGGCAGGTTGACTTTTTTTTTCCATCTGAAGGGCATCGTGCAGTTCTCTGAACAGGTAAGTCTGGTGCCTATCCAGAAACCGACTAGTTCAGAACACCGACTCTCATCTTACCTATTCAGCTAGAAGGATAGAAACCCACTAAACTTTCACTCATTTTCTGCTTCATTTCTTGATCTTCAGGATCCTAGAAAAGGCTCCAGCATCCAAAGGACTGGGGCTCCTTCTCATACAGCTGTAGTAACCATGAGCCCTGGGAATGCCTTGAGAAGTGACTTGGCTGCAGACATCTTCATGGAAGGTGGTGTCTGTGGCACAGCTCAGCACAAAGGCTGCCTAATGTCACAACTTAGCTCCCCCAAAAACATGGCACAATGCTAGTAGCTCTGCTCAGACAATTGCCAGATAACATCTCAAAAGCATTCTGGGAAATGTTTTCCTAATTGACTATTTATCTCAGAGTCCCTCTCCTCTCAAGCAATTGAAATCTTGCTGGGCAAAAGGGTGCTTTTTAGAATCTGACATACATCTTAGTGTTGAGAGTATTCAGGATGTAGTGTTGTCTTTCAAGGATGCCAGTTATGTCTGCAGCCTTCTACAGTCTTCATTGTCTGTTGAATAAAAGCTGAGACCCACAGTGCTGCTGGCATTCAGACCATCCTCACATGAACAGTTGTTTACAGGTGTATGTAACAGTTTGAAGCACGCATATTTTCAAATAGTGACTGCTGCATGGTCTGTAGCTAAGCTATCTTGCAATCCAGACAGAACAACAGTTTAAAATAGATGAACTTGTGTCAATATTTCCCCATTTTTATCTAGGTTTCATGGAGCGCCTTTGAAAGTCTGTCTGGGCAGTACTAGCTGTTAGCTCTCTAGGGAATATGTTTTGTTTGATTTAATTATAATAATGTTTGATATAACAATCTATTTCTACCAATTCTTCTCACATCAATATTTATTCAGTGCCATAGTTTTGTGTTGTTGGAACATCCTGATTTAGCATTATTATTCTCCTATGGGTCTGTCTCTGTTATTCAAACAACTTTACAAGCCTACAGCATTAAGCCTCACTCCATTCTTTACAAAAACGAGGACTTTTTTCCTTCCATTTTGCAACAAGGGAGATCAAATGCAAAATGATTTTGACCTGAAGATCATCTGGACTCTGAAGCAATGCTGGTGCTTGAACACGGGATCTCACTGCAGTGCTTTCCCTATGCAATTAAGGCCTCCCACAGATTAGACTAGCAAAGCAAGTTTGCAATCCTTTCATGTTAAGCTACCCAAGGCACTTTCACTTTGGTAGCCCAACAAAATTTGTCTGGGGCTTGATTTCATTAAACTCAACCAGCACACAGTCCTATTGTACCTTGCAAACAGTCATGACTCTCTTCTGCAGCTGTTTCAGGGGAGACAAGGTTGTGTACCAGCATGACTTGGGTTTTAGTTTTGCCAGAGTCCTTTGGGGTAAAAGCTATGTTTTGCATCACAGTACTACAGTTTTGTGCAGGCAATGTGTACAACAGTGTAATTTTACCTGGTACAGGAATTGTGTACTTACATCTTGGGTCATATTATGAAGAGGATTTAATACTTGTTTTCATGAAAGACTAATTTTAAAGAGGCTTTTGTCTAAACAGTTAATAGATTTTTACTTTATCTTTTTGATGTGTTCTGTACAAGAAAGGATCTGTTGAATGCAGTTCATTTCTTTCAGCTGTAGCTAGGCATTCACATATATCTTCTAAACAATATGAAGTAAAACCCAGTCAGCCATGAAGAAAGGATATCTGTTTACAGTTTAGAATCTGTGCTATTACATATTTGAAACCCTCACTATTGGATTTATGGATAGTTCGTGTTGTTATTTAAATGTTTTATTTGTTTCTTTACTATAATTCAAACCAATTAGTTTCTAAATTTCAGACAAAGTTGAAACTGATTCAGTTTAAACTGAATGGGTTCATGTGGCTATTTCAGCCTCAAAGATTTTGAACTATGTTAAATCCATTTACAGTTTTAGTGAAAAAATAGGGAAATACATTAAATTTTTCTTTAAAGTAAGTAGTTTAAGATTAAGTAACTTATTTTCAAATGAAAATGTACTTGTAAATTAGATATGCCATAATATTACATCTTTTGTGAACATGATATATCCATCTGTACAGTTATCCCTGACTCACCAGAGCCAAATAGCAATTGAACATTCTTAATACCACACAGTGGTACTAGTGCCACTTCTTGCAACCCATACTTGTTTTTTCAATAGGTCTGTATCTACCTTCATGATCTGAAAGGACTACATACAGATGTGTTGCAGCAGATGCTTGTTTTATGTAGATGTGGTGAGAGTATATGCCTCCTTTCTTTCTGTTTCCATCTAGAGTTGTTTTCTCAGTACTACTTCATACAAGATAAATTCCCATCCATCTTATTTTTGCTGTCCTAATGCTTTCCAGTAAAATGCTTTGGGATGACTAATACCCAGGTGAACCTACAGACTCCATCTAGTTTCTTTGGTAGTGAGTTTATGAGGAAAAGTATATTTCTGCCCTACCCTCCTCCCTTGCTCTTCGTCTTCAGACCCTGGTGTCTGCACCAGTGGTGCAGCCTCAGTTTCCACTACGACAACGTAGAGCAGCAGAAGTGGGAACCACAGTCTGCATAGAGCAGTGCATCCCTTTCTCAGAGAAACCCAATCTGCATAAACTGCCACACTCTGAAGTTTTTAAACTTTCACCTTACTTCACAGTTTTCAAGTTAAAATAAACTGCTTGACTGCTTAATTGCAGCTGGATTGTAAATCTTCTAACAGTCATCTGTCTTCTACAGCTTGCACACACCAGGGCGCTAAGCACAATCACAGAGCCTCACCAAAACGAGGTATGTTTGCTGCAAATTCTAAATATGGTACAATTTTTGTGCTGTATCATTTTGATTTTGTGCTATTATCTTTTCAATTAAGATATTGCTGTTTCTTTTGTTCATGGAGACAAAAGGAAAGAGAGCAAACGCATAATAGACAGTCCCTGGTTTGCAGTATTGGAATAGATGAAATACATTTCACTGTCTTGACTGTATCAGTGCACTCAAGCTGGATAAATGAACTGAAAAGGCCTCTGACCCAAAATAATGGTATACAAAATGCCTCCTTCAATTATATTGAATATGAACCAACTATATTTTTAAGAGGTTGTATCTCGTATGTCTGTATTCAGTCCTGTTTCTTCCCCCACCTCTCTGTGCTGCCTTTCCTTGTTAATTCATTTAAACAGGGTTTCTTTCTGCTCAATTTGCATTCAAATGGCTGTCAGGGGAATTTATGGAAATAATATAAGTGCTTTTATCACTGTGTATTTAGTCACATGTGCTAAATTTCAAAAGATGAACTTGTCTAGCATCTTAGCAAAAGAAAGAGTAAGAGTCAAGCACCAGTTTTATGGCTATAAAGTCAAGACCAACATCCCAATTAATGATTTTTTTGGCTCAATTGATATATCTTTGTCTATTGTGGCCCATCTTATCCATTGTCTGGCAAATATTTTCTGCTTCTTCTTCCCCCCTTGCAAAGGAAGTAGCAAAAAGCCCTTCTCTAGATCCAGCACACAGTGGAATCTGTTTCTTTTTTTTCTTTAGCAGTGAAACACAGATTTATTGAGTTTTGGAAATTTCACTTTGAGTGCTGTTTCTTTTCCTTAACTGGTATTAGAGCGATAGGGGCACACCTCTTTCTCACAGTTAGCAGGAACTCCACGGAGGCCACCACGGAACACCAGTAGTTACCTCTGTGTATTGATTCTCTGAAAGATGAATCTGCCCCCTCTTCTCAAAGTTGCAATTAGCAGATTCCCCAACCCCCAGTGTATTTGGTAGCATCTTCAGCAAATTCACAGCCAAGACAAACTTAATTTTGACCAAATCTGACACCAATGGCTTATTAAATTGAGCATGTAGTTATAGCTTAGATAATATGAGATACTTTTTGGTCTGGCTCCTTTGAAACCCAAGTAACTTTATTTTTCTTTTTGGCACTTGATGACAAATACTTCCTCCTCTGTTTTCCTGAAAATTGTAGTAATTAGTGCAGAAAGAGACTTCTATAAAGCATGTAAGTAGTTCAGAGAAACAGTTGGAGGCAGGAATGCGGTGGTTTTTCAGACAAAATCAAGAAATTTATTTTTTAAGATTTTTTTTTTTTAGATCTACTGTTAAGCTGTCTGAGTGGCAAATTATCCATTGTATTTGCACATATTTTCTAAAAGAAAGGGAGAAATTGTGCTGAAATTGTTTTGTGTAAATGTGAAAATGTTACATTTCAAGGCTTTATATCTAGTGAGTTTTAGATGATTTGTGTTACTCTACCCTTCTTATTTAGAAAGTATATAGCTATTACATAACACAAAAAAAGGCCCAATTCATTATGTAAGTGCAAGTTACTGATTTAATGATGAAATTCCTGAAATGGAGGAGGGTCAAAGGAGGAATCACAGAAGTTTTCAAATCTTCAGCTCAAGAAAAGTAATGTCATGTCCAAGTATATTTAGTGAATGGTAATGTAAACCACAGACAAATAAAGAGAAGAGGAGAAACTAAATTCTCTGGCTCAAGATGGGAATGTATTGAATGCTTAGAGCCAGAGAAAGAATAATTTAGATGGGAGTATTTCCCTGGATTCTGCACTACTAATAAATCATTGCTGGTCATGCAATTTTTAATGGTCTCAATAATGATTACATTTTGCGTATGCTGGTCACAATTAGAACTTACATATTGTCCTTTGTTCTGCTATCTGTATTACTAATGCTCTGGATGCTCTCAGGTGCTGAGGAATTACATTTTTTGTATACAACGAAAGAGGCGAGTGTCTTTAGGTACACACACCTATATATATGCATATGCCACACCTCCAGTCCAAGGAAAATATTATTTATCATACAAGTTTTTTTCAGAATTGTCATCAAGAAATATAAATAGATTTTGTAAAATAGGTAGAAAACTTAAAATTTAAATTAAATTCTATTTCTGAGCTTATTTTCCTTGTAGAGAGGACAAGAAACAAAAAACCACACCAGTCTATCTCAGACAGTGTGAAAATATATTGCTTTGTGTTCATAAATGACTTAAAATTCTTTGGAGAAAGGCAGCTATTAAAGAAAAATCTGTCAGACTTGCAGTATACAATATCTTTACCTTAAGGAATTGTGATTCCTTGGGATGTGAATAAAGGTAGGGAATATGTAAACCAAGGGAACAGCCTCTAGAGGTGGGTGCTGAGCCATAATAGCACAAAGCCTGAAAAATGATGGAAGAAGTAATGAGAATAGCTCCCTTTTTTTTTTTTTTTTTTTTTTTTTTAATGAGGGAAAGAGTATATGTGCATCTTCCAAACCACTGCAAGAGCGTTCACTAATGCATGTATGAAAGTCTGTAAGGATTGTTGGGTCTAAAAAACTTTCTTACCGGAAAGGACAAAAGGTGAAAATACTCAATACCTATCAGGTCAAGAATAAAAAAAGACTACCAAGATTAATTGGTGGGAAGTTTAAAAAAGATCCCTATAAACATCTGTGAAGGACACAGTACTTTCTGGAAGTCAGAGCTATTCCTCTGTCCCTGTGGAGTTGGTGGAAGGACAGCCCAGAGACTGCAGATGAAAATCTTGGCACCAAGGAGTAAAAACCTGCTGAGAGGAACAGTGAACCAGCAGCCAAACCCCAGCAGTGATGAAGAAAACTTTCTGCAGGTTACGGAAGACTATGCCAGGTGTGCTGCTACTAGGGAAGCCACTGGGTTGACTGCACCAAAGCCTGGAAGCAGGATTTGATCTCTGTTTGAAATTCCACCAAAATAAAATGTCAAGGCAAATCTATTGCAAAGCTGTGGCTGACCTAGGTGTTGTCACAGTATTGAAGAAATATGACTTGATTTAAGCATTAGCAGAGTAAATCACAAATCAAAGTTGGGGGCAGGAAGAGTTAAGCTTGTTTTTTAAGCAAGTCACTAATATGCGCTGGCTGAGTGACCTAGAGTTTCCTTAAGGCTGAAGATATGTAACAACAGAAAGAGCAACAGAGCTATTGACAATGGAAAACAGAAGATGGGTATTGTAAAAGTGCAGAATATTGTCTATTTTCAAGCTGAATTGACTAGGTACAGATCTATAAAGACTGGAAGCGGGACAGGAAATGACCTTTTAAGTTAATAATGTGTGAGTATAGAGCAACTTCAATGCCTTTCATTGAAATGTCCAGTCTTTGGATTCCTGCCTTACAGAGAAAACTGGACTGAAGATTACACCAGCCCACAATCATGCATGTTTGCACTGCTCCCCTGGTCATGTGGAGCAGCAATTAGGTCCAACACTAGGAATCAGTTTTTTTACAAGTGTCAGCCTGATGTGTTAAGTTGAAATAAATTGAAAATAGTTGTTTGGATGAAGCTCAAAATGCTTTTCTTTATAGAAGAAAAGCTCAGCTAGACCAACTAATAAAGTCAAGTGAAAGATATAACCTATTTGGGCATCTCAGTGTTAACTTTCTACCGTGACAACACCCATTTCAGAAATATTGAACTATTTAGTGCCTCTGAAACATCTGGACTTTCTACTTGTTTCATAAGTCTCTAACAAAAAAATATCTGCACATCATCCATCAATCCACAGCCACACTGTTTTCTCACCCTATCATGATTAGATTCTTTAGGAGGTTTTAGTTTGTTTTTTTTTCCTGATGCTTTTCTCCCTGTTTTTCTTGGAAATCCTTATATTATTAATGGGCTCAATATATGCTCACTTTGAACTGTTAGAATTTAAACTAATAGGTGTTAGTTGTTGTTATATAAACTGGGCAAATGAGGATTTTTGGGGACCTGGCCTCTTTCCTTAGCCACAACAGACCCATTCTGGCAAAACTGAGAGAGATATCAACCAGTGTTTGAAGAAAGTCTATCTCCTATTGAGACATGGAGAGCAGTGTTTTGTCCAACTTGGTAGGTCAGTAGCACTATTGCTAGGGCTGTCCTGATATAAGTGAATGGAAATGCCTAAATATCCCTTCTCTAAATAAGTAGATAGGTGTTTCTATAGACCAAGATCTACACTGAACAGTCACTTCAGGGAAAAAAAGCTGAGTGGCCTCTGTGGGGAGTCCCTCTCAAAGAACTGTGCCGGTAGAGTAAGCAGTCAGTGTTTACCTGAACTACATCTACTGTGAAGGTAAAGACTTATTACATACTCTGTTGTGGAGGTGCCATTTTTCTTCCTCTTTAAATGTCAGTAAATGGATGGGGAATTCTGCCCCATCCACATGGGCTGGCGCTGGTTTTCTTGCAGAAGGAGGAGGGCAGCCAGCCACCAGGTGGCTTTAAGCAAAGGCTGAGCCCCTCTGGCCAGCACATATTCCTTCCCAGTTTAGGCTGCTGAGTACTTTGCCTTTCTCCCCCTTTGCACCAGTGTCCTTTTTCCACACTGCTTTTCAGCCAGATGAGTTCCCTGACCCAACCCAGTGTGCAACTGCACGTGTGCAATCAGTGCAAGATACTCGTAAAATTAGTTAGCTGTAAGACTGCTGAACTGAGACCAGGAGGGGAGTCAGGAGCAGAGGAAGCTGGCCTGGGACCATCTGGGGCTGCCACGGCAAAGTTTCTGGTACGCTGAGCAGCCGGACGGTTTGCTGCCAGGTAGCGCAAGGAGCCGGCTGATACCAGAGCCCCGTGTGGGGATTGTTTCATCTGTCAGGTTGCCAGTGGATACACAACAATTGCAATCTCCACCACTCCTCCCTGCTGCAAAGACTGGGGGAGTTAGTCATGTGGAGCTCAGCTATGAGACTGTTAGGAGGGATGATAACAATGCACAAACATCAGACTGTTGTAAATAATGAGGAGAAAAGGGATGATTCAAGGATGTGCGTAATTAAGAATAATGGGTTGAAGAAAAACATCTTTTTATATATGTGAGTATTTTTATATGACCTCTGTCTGGAACTCAGCAAACAAAACTAAGGAGGAATCACAGTCTCCTCAAACAATATTACAAAGTGAGACCTTGATCCTGAAAATAAATCAGTGTGTCAGACTTAAATTCATTAATTTAATTTGTCTGAATACTAGGCAAATTAAGAAAAAACAGTCTGAAGAGCAGATACTGCTTTCTGATCAGCCTGTGAAATAGTCCTGTAGTGGGAAATTGAGACATGTTTTGTAGAATCAAAAATTCTAGAAACCCTGCTGTGATTATCAGACAATTCATCTATTATCAGTAATAATCTTGAAATAAAAGTGGTCTGAAACACTGAGTATGCCTAACAAAAGGAGTGAAGAATGTATGTAAAATTATTTGATTTTCTCTTCTAATC